GTTCCACATTCTTTTTAACTTAAAAACAGATAAAAGAGATAAAATGACTCAATACTGGGATATGAAAGCAAAATAACCTATCTAAAAGAGAATAAAAAGGTACTTTACGTACTAAATACTTAGTACGTATCATAAATCCAAAAAATGTAGGATATCATGTTTATCGGGTTGGATGGAGTTTAAATAGAAGTAACTCAATATCAACCCAATACATATTGTTTGAAGATTTTACAACTTGATTAGATATCAAGTTGCTTCAAGTTAAGTTATTTCGTGTTGAATTGGGTTGGGTTGGTCAAGTTAGTCAAGGCTTTCAACACCCAGTATCTATTAAACAATTTAACATACAAGAGAACTCATACCATACACTTTTCATTAAATACTTTTTGGGAACTTTTAGGGGGTCTTGGGCACACCTTGAGCCCGTCCTAGTCCGTCATTGCTTATTCTAACTACCGTATCATTACGTATTTATATAAAACGAGATTGTTTCAAATTAATCATATAAATTTGTTTTTATAAATCAATACTTGATGACTTCAAATAGCAAATCTTGATTAACATCAGCACACATGACAAACCAAACTTTACATAAAAGTCTAGGCTAAGGCCGAACTTACGAAAACCTAAATACAATGGTTATTCCAAGATATGGAAGACGTTCCCGAATAGCTAATTTCTTCTCGTGCATCTAACTAGCACTCAACTCTTCACGGTGTCGCTAATACCATTCATAAACAAGAACCTGATGCACATGCGGACAAATGAAAAAGGTTAGACTTAACGCCTAGTGAGTTCAAACAATTTTGATCGTATATCATAAAATGGTAAAGCTGATAGAAAGCTTATATAAAATCGTAATTTCACAAACGAAATGTTTTAATTATAAAAGCAACATTTTTCCAAAACCCACAAATTTTCGTGATGAGAACTCCAAATCGGAACAACCATTCAGTATCAAATCAAAACCTAATACTCACATAACAATGAATAAAGCATGATGTTCAAATACTGGAGACATGAATAGAACTCAAGTATCCAAAGCAACTAAATATGAATAATAAACAACATCTGAAACATCAAAATCATGGATACATTTTGTACCCAAAACAACACGAAAACATGGATGAAATATCATATCCAAAATTTACCTCTGGGTGACGGGGGAGACCCGATTCCATTGAATGTGACGGAACACAAAAGTAGATCAAATGTCTATGTTATACGAGCACCACTTACAGATTAAGATTCATTAAGATTAACCACTCTAGATCTATAGTTTAATCAGTTAACAGACTCAACTACTCAAAGTCTATTGCTTGTAAAGTCACCAAGTTCAACTACACTAGGTCTATACCTTGGGATCTCTAAAATCTTAGTTAAGCTCGTTCACAATAAATTACATTATGTTGGTCAATGGTCGGTGTCCGACTCAAAGAGCTCACACCATATTGTCTATGAAGACCCAACGTTACAATACGAGAATGTTCATCTCATTCAAACCGACTCCTATATTTATGAATTCATTGCATTACAGTCTAAATTACATGATACTAATTTAATAACTAACTCATTCAAAACGTTTAATTTCCAAATAAATATGTCATAACTGCATATCACTTCAAAAGCTCAACATCGAGCAATTTAAAATGGACAAATGTCCTCGAAATTCATTCGAGTTAAAATCAAACCAATAAACTTCACAACTCACTTGACTATTCAAATAAAATCAATATAAGCCAATAAGTTACAAATATTCGGTGCTTAAGCAACTTATATACCAAAAGGTTTGAAAATCATCATCACCAACTCAAAGGTCGGACCAAAATCCCTAAACGAGTATTTTTCTCAAATCCAAGCCAGTGGTCTCTTCGACTTATCGGACTACTCCAAAATAAGTCATCATAACGCAAAACATATCTAAATATTTTAATAAATCCCGTGACTCAAAAGTCCACAAAATCCAACAATCGAATCTTGCATATTATTCATAATGATTTATAAAATCAAAATATCCAAAAATGCATTAACATCAAATAATCAACATATGACAAATAAGTCATTAAAACCCACAAACTTTATGATTTATCATCAAGATATCCAAAGACTCCAAATATATGTATTTGTTAAGATTTATTAAACAAAAGATGCAATTTCATCAAGTACCAAACAATATTTGATAAATCTTTAAGGAAAACACTTTAAGAATCTAAAATATACATTTTTGGCGTGTACAAATTTTCATAAAACAAATTGAATTCACATTGCTAGGTTAGGTTAAACTTAGATTCCAAACCCGTTCTTATTTTCCAAAAATGGTGGACTTGAATCTAGGAGTAAAACCTCCCAATAACATCACATCCATATGGCTAGAATTAAACCAAACTTTCATGTGGCCTAAGTCGCGCATGTACAATAACTTAAAATTTCAGAACCAAAAAGTTGCACGACTTGGCATGTGGCTTTAAGTGGCGGGACAGGTAGCCCAACTTTTTGTTGCCTCCCGATACTCCTTCTTTCTCTACCAAAACTCTCTCACACCAATTGTTCTCATGGTACAATGCATTTCATCCACTAAAAGACCTCCAAAAGATCATAAAAAGAATGTGTATCCCCAAATGTTGTACCCACAAAAATACGGGTCTTACATGAGGGGTTTGTGCCGACACTCAAATGTCCTTATGTATTAGAAAAATATTTTTCAACTCTTCAGGCGTCACCATCGTGATTCGAGAGTCATGTGTGCCGCCATACGACGTCATCACCATAAAACTAAGAGGCTACAATAGGATATCAAGACTTCATTTAGTGTTTTGATGGTCAACAATTATGGAACATAAAAAAAATGTAACTGTAAATTGTTGAATTTTGATTTGATTTCTTAATGTTTTGTACAATATATTGTAAATATAATTAATTTTTTATTTCTTTATATTATGGTTGTTATGTTATGTTATAACACCACTATAAAAAACTTACATGTTTATCTGTATTTTTATATTAACCAAATCTAAGGTCTTTCCAATATGAAGCATCTGGTCCCGTTAGATTAGATTTTAGGTTCCAAAGGTGAGACTTCTGTTTTGAAATTGAGACTTCCATGTGAGGATTTTGGACTTCCATTTGTTAAATATCCCTAAATATTTCTCACTTAAACTTGTACAATCATATAAATATAAGTGATTTTTTTTATTAACCTGGATATCCAACTTGCTATGCGAGCTGATTAATCTCAGGACGACCACCTGCTTTGCAGATAGCCCGCAATCACCGCATTTGAACCTCCGTGGCCACAAGGAGGTTTTTGTTCTTATTTGGATTTGAACTTGAGACCTCCTGTTACTTTTAATTTTTGGAACCATAAGTGATTTCAAATACAAACCATGTAATTTTTATAAACCATATAAACCATTATATTAGGAAATAACAGAGATATTTATGGACGATTATCATGATTCATTAATCATGATTGAGATATATACGTAAAATGATAAGGTTCATTTATTATGATCATTGGCTTTGAATTTGGAAAGCAAATAAAATCAAATATTTATTACACTAGATGGACGGCTATGATTGGTTTTGTAAAGATTGTTGGAATTGCATGATTTGTAGATGAATTGTTCCCCACAATAATATATATTACATTAACAAATATTCGAACGTGATTGCGTATATGTAAAAAATGCAATTATGTAGACGAGAAAAAAAAATCCTCGAGCCATAATTAACTCTATCCATAAGTATATTATTTTCTATTTCCATGAACTATCAAAGTTTTTGTTCGTGCTAGTTGGATTGGGTTATTCAATTGCTCAAATCGGCTAACCCAACCCAACCCAACCCAACCCATGTGCATCCTTAGTTCTCGGTACCCAACCAGTTCCCGTTTCTACATCCATTCAGTATGATTAAAACAGCCGTCAACTTTTTAAACATTCTTTGACAACAAAATACACAATTCTACAAAAGGAAGAGGTGGAGATGCAAAAAAAAAAGTCAGGCCTAACCTTAAAGCCTGATTAGACGTAATATTTTTTTTAAAGAGCCTGGCCCAAAAGGACCGAAAACCCTCGAGCGGGCCTATTTTTACACGCAAAGTCTATGCCTGAAAAAACCAGACTTTTCTTCGCTTACTGAAAACGAGCTTTGAAGGTCCACTTCTCGAAAAACTCAGACCTTGTGCAATCTCTGAACAGGGGCATAAAGACGTTATATCAAAATGTAGCATAGATTTCATATTTCAGACGTAAAAACAAAGATTCAGATTTCAGACGTAAAAACAAAGATTCAGATTTCAGCACCACCTCTTAAAAATCAGAAGTAAAATCAGACTTCAGACTTCAACACTTCTTAAAAAAAATAAACACCCCCTTAGGTAACCAATGACCCTTTAATCTAATTGCTGCTACCAACTGACCGTTGCCAGTAAAGGTGGACACCAGATGACCAACACAGCTCCCACACTACCCACGACAAGCCACTTGTTTGATTCATTTTCTTTAGCTACATAATCATATCACCAAATGACTAATTTTTGTAAAAATGTATAGTGATCAGAATCACTCTTTCTTAACCGAGTTCAACTCAGACACCAATTTCACTCGTGACTCACACAGGCAAAGCAAGCAGAAAATGACTCGATCATATTGTGTAGCGAAAGCACGATAAGTCGAGAAGAGTGTTGCATTCTTTTCTCCCCTGTGTTGAAAGTTGCTTCGATCTCTTTTTGGTGTCAAATCTGTACACAATGTCGTGTTTGTTTTCAACAAATGAATACACTATTCTCTCTTGCCTTCTTCTGCTTCATCATCCTCATCTAAATCAAAGTCATCTGTCTTCTTCTCTCGTCTTTCCTGCCTCACTAAGCTGATGTCACCTTTCGGTGTTCCACTGTAAAGTGCTTCGGTTTCTTCATCAGAATCTTCACCTTTCTCTTCTGAATATGCATATCTGTTTCATAATGTCAAAACGTACAGAGGTTTAGTACAAATAGAAGAAAAGCATCATAATTTCCCATAAAATTACTTTTTGTGCTATAACTTCCTGCCCCCTTTTGGGATCAGGGGGACCTTGAAACAAAATGATGTGTACAGGTAGGGGCAGGTACAAATGAGAACCGTAAATATTTTGAGAACCTAGGAACCAAGTATTCATGGTTTATTTACGATGAATGTCGTGATAAATATTCATCATGAAAACTATTCTTCATGAAAATATATGATATTCATGATGAAAATGCATGATATTCGTTATTCATCATGAATGATTCATGAAATAGTTGGTTCTCAGGTTCTCAAAATATTTACGGTTCCCATTTGAACTTTCCTCTGTTCAGGTAAAACCATAGAAGATCACTTTGTCAAATTTCTGCGCTTACTTTTCAGGGTTTATGGTTTCTTCTTTAGAAGGTTCGATGCTGGAAAGAGCAGAAAACATTCCATGAATGTAAGATCTCTAATTTACCTTTGAGAACTCTGTGATGGGGCCCACAGATAGCAGATAACACAGAGCAATGCAAATGCAAGAATGTCCCAAAATGCGGTGATAATCCAGCCGCTCTGCCACCTCTCATTGAAAGGATCAGTTGCCTTGAAGTAAACCTGTATGAACAAGTTACATCTGAAAAGTGTCCAACAGAAAACAAAGAATAATGGTAATGCAATAGCTTTATCCAACCCAGCCTCCTATTGTTAAGGCATCAGTAGCTCGGATGTGAGATTGCTTGGTTCTTGTAAAGAAAGCTAGGGTTATTAGCTTTTTCCCTCCAAAAGAAAACTTGAAGAAAGAATTCCATGGTTTTTACTAGTTATTGTTGTATCAAATATAAAGATCCACTTCTTTCTTCCAATTATGCCCCTTGTATTTTTCCAATTAACTTTTTAACATGTCCTTTTAGGTCATTTTACATTGTGATCTAGCTTATGAGCTATTTTTTTTTACCAAACATGACTAGTTTAGCAACTAGCTTATCAGCCAATCAGCTCTTTTCAGCAGTTAGTTTGCCTAAGTGGTGGAGTAGTCTCCTATATTATGAACTTATATCTGGTGTAAATAATATTTTCCGAAGGGGTAACTTTGCTGATTTCTGCAATTACGATTATAGTTACAAAGCATAGGATAGGTGCGAAAAGCTTAGTGCAGGTTAGGTGCTAAGGTGAAAGCTGTTGTGTAGACATAGTATATAATTTGTAAGAAGCCATCTTCTATTGTTGTATTTGGGTGTACTTCAGGTACATTGGTGCATACACCTTGTCTCCCATTTCTAGTAATTATAAAAAGAAAATCATGTTAAGATTCATTAATGACAAGCACATGATAAACACATTCAAACTCGTGTGATCACTCGAATCTTATAAGTACGATTATTATTGTATATACACTTGAATTGAGCATTATATTAACATGAAAGGCAATGACAAAATGTCTTGTGGACTTCAAGACTGGAGTCAAATTGGAGATTAAAACATCAGCTTGAATACTGGCAGAATTTGAAAATCCTAGACTAGAAGATCCGGAGAAATCAAGTTTGCTTAGCAAAGTCTTTTGTCTGTCTCTCATACACGCACTCATAAATATTTGTGTGAGGAAAAAACCATTTTTAAAATGTTGCATTGTCCATACATCCAATCTCGAAACTAACTTATAACCAGAAAGAGAATAAAAAGAAAATTAACGCATTTGTAACTGATATCATGAAGATTAATAAGCTGAGAAGATCACAGAGAACAGCTGTACCTGACCCCAAGCATTTTGGATAAAGTCAACTTACCTGGAAGGCAACGGTATTATGCTTGTTTAGGAATAGATCAATCAGTTATTCCGAATAAACATGGGTATTTTTCTGCCACCCAACTGTTGGAGCCTATTTTCTTTGAGTTATGGCCTGACTTTTAGGAAGAGTTGTATTCTTCTATATTCCTGATCAATGCATTAATAAAGCTCCTTTGCCTCGGATACTTCAATTTGAGGTAAGGTGGGATCTTTACACTCTCAATAAAAGTGCCTATCTATAAAACCCTGAGTTGAAGAGATATGTGGGGAAAGAGTGTAATTACAATCAGCCTAACACCCAAGTTAGCTTGACGGCCAGCAAAATGAGTCCCTTCTGCTTCACATGATGAATTTTAACTCAACATATATTGAGAAATGTTTTCTCAGGATAAAACATAGGCACACAGGTTCTTGATTTTTACAATTCGTCCATCTGATCATGACAAGAGACCCCGTTTTTATTTGTCATGATGACTTGACAAGGATCAATAGTTTGGACAAAAATATGGCCATGAATGAGAGTTTCTTCTTCTTCTGCCCAGGTTGCATCATTGATCCCTAGATTGGATCTTTAATTCCACATGGCATACTATCTCCATCTCTCTTGACCCCACCATTATCCTAATTCCAAGAGTAGCCTTCCGTACTTCAAATGTTATTTAAAGATAAACCGTCCACAAGATTGAGATAAATATGTTTGAATAAAAATATAAAAAAAGTGAAATAATACCTCGTCATGTTCACCTTACTAGCATCCCACACACAAAAAAAAAAAAACTTTTTGTTGTTTTCCTTTTTATCGTCTGGATTTTTTAAATCACATCGATGAAGGAGGTGGAGTTCAACCAAATAACCCCTTCTTATGGAGGGGCAATGGCTATTTCAAAAGGAAAAGAAAAATCCGCGGTGCCCATATTTGGCTGATAAGTAACTTTCCAAAGGAAAAGATGGATTGAAAGAACCCATCTCTTAAATATCCTGCATCTAAAAAGGTCTTATTTGAAACAGAGACTTTCAGGTATAACTTGGGCTAGACTTTGGTTGGGCAATGGTAAGCTAGTTCATTTCTGGGATGATGTTTAACCATATGTCACTCTACTCAGAAATGCATGCCATACATTGTAATTTTGTATCAGTTCACAAGGTTCTTATGATCTCAAAGTGATACACTTACATTCAATATGGAGGAAAAAGGATTTCTCCCTCTACACAACTACCCATTTAAGAGCATTTGGCTTCAGAATACGTTCTATTTTCTTTTTCTTTTTTATTACGGGGAGGATGTTTTGTGGCAGCTTCCTCGAGGTAATATCTTTTCTCTATATTTTTTTTTATAAATAGATCGCTTCGATACACTTTTAAAGAGATCACTCAGTATGTAGTTTTCTACTGTATTATCAGATTATAGAGAACGGCCAAGTATCTGCCTCTGGCTGGGAAGAAGCTCTAATCTTCGAATCAGGAGATATCTTGAGAACAGTGAAAGCAACATTAAATGACCAGCACATGTGATTCCATTTTTTAAGTTTCCAAACATTGTTGAAAAGGAACATAGGCTTTAAAATTCTATATTTCCGTCTACCAAAACTACTTTCTTTCATTCGATCTACTGTGAAGGCTTGGTAGGTTTTAGGATTCAGTAGCATCTTGTAAAGCATGGATAGCTAGGTTCAACGAACCACGTGCTTTGACAATGCACAAGGTTGTGCTTGGGCAACATACCTGAACAACTTAGGAGCGACTGACTTGAGTAGCCAAAGGCTGTAAAGGTTTCTCTAATCTCGAGACCTCAGGAGTGCACCTACGTGAATCTCTAAGTTCAGGTAATTAAACAAACCAATTGTTGGTTCCACTAAAATCATTCTTTAAACATCCATTGTTCCCTATGACAATGCTATCCTTACCTAACTAGAACAATGTTTCGTACATTTATTTTTATTCAGACTTTGGAAAGCACCAATAATGTGCATGCCAAAACGATGAACAAACTGCATTGTGCTCAACCCAACCATACTTGACATTTCCACCCTTGTCCCCTTACATGACAACCTTCTATAGTCATGGTGGCCTGATTAAAACCAGTTTTAAATGCTTTTGCACTCATACCATGTAGCAGATTATTTTTAGTAATGCATCAAAAAGTAAAATGATCATTGAATGATGCATTTAAACAAATAGATAACTATGCCCATCAGTAAGAGCATTCACTAACAGAATTCAGGTCAAACGTTGTGAGGTAATACTGCTCGCATATATGTTATAAAAGCAACAAAATAAAAACCATGAAAAAGCAAGCATACGTAAATAGATCAATGGCCAACGATTTACCAGCAGAATATAGTAAATATAACTATAAATGAACCAGATTAGCTCCTTGAGGTGATTAATTGTCTATAGATAAAAGCTGTGAAGTGGATACCTCATATCCAATCCAGATAACTGAAAGAACAACTGTGATTACTAATGCATTTGAGAACTTCCTGTAGGTGTCCAACTTAACAGAACTCCTCTTTGCCTGGACGGGTCAAAAGTTAGTATTAGTACACTAGTGAATAATCGAGCAGCACAAAAAAAGGGTAAAAAGAATGCCCAAACACAATTGCAATGCTGTAAGCTCTTTATGTATTGGCCTGAAGTTAAAGATAAAAGCATAACCTGTAGCTGTGTAAGTGTCTTTGAAAGAGAAGTAAAAATCCACATGATCAAAAATGCATCCAACATAGCATTAGGAAGAACAAGAATAACTCTTGCCCTTCCGGCTATGTCACTTATAGTTCCCACATACTCCGTAATATTGAGCAACTCAGTTGATAGAAAGTAAGTTACTCCAAGAAGCATCACTTTTGTGGTAAGGCCACCAAGCGTAGGACGCACAACGCCGTACCCCATAGAAACACACAACATAAGTAGACGTGAAACAGTTCTCCTTACAGATCCAACAGTCACAACCCAAGTTGTAATTGCAACCGGCCTTGTTCCCGTGTTGTTAAAATATGCATAGTCAAAGTACCAAAGTATCATTTCAAACAACCCAACAGCAACAACGGCACTGATGCAGTGCTGAAGTTGCAAGATATCATCCCAAAACCTCGCATATTGAGAAAACCAGGCAATGCAAAGCAGTGCATATGCAAGAGCCATGATCACATAAAACTTCTTTAGAGGGGCCATCCTTCCAGGTAAGTAGCCATCAGGGTTCTTCCAAGCGGTTGTACCACTCAATGTCATCCCTTTGAGGCTTGGGTCACATGATATGAAAAATAAGTTGTACATTCCAGTTTTAGTGATGTAAGCCTCTGTAGTTTTCAATTGTGCCGTTAAGGATTTTCCACGAAAATAGACGTTGACAGTGACAGGCCAGTTAGAATCCCTTGCAGAAGGTATCCTAATAACTTCCCCTTGTTTACAACCTTCCAGCTTAGCTAGATCAGATGTGCAACAAATAGATCTCTGCCCACCATAAGGTGACCCACCAATGTTATCACGATCAGCAGCCTCAAAAATTATAACTTGTACCAATCCAGTACGACGCTCCGTTTTTGAATGCTTGGCTGCAGCTGCTTCACTCCTCCGAAATGTGACGTTCTGAAATCTACACATGTTTGGATTTCCACAAAATAAACTTCTGAGAGGGATAATAAATATGTCTTGGAAACAAATAAGCATGACAGAGCATAAACCACCTTTTGCTTTAACTGAAGCTAAACTCCAGCTTAATGATTTTTAAGCTATTAGTCATTTAAATGAGATATCTTTCTATATGGGTGTTTTGACATCCCCTTAAGACGGTCTGGACTCCATTCTATTTGAATTTACCCCATCGGCCCAATTACCATTTCAGTTCATAAGCTATCATACTCCTTATGCTCCAAAATACCACACCATTTTCTTTTCTCTGTTCCATAATAAAGACGCCTTCTTGTAAAGGACATCACAAAAACGACACTGTAAAAATACTAGATATTTCCTCATTTGATTACCAATCCATCTACACTACCACCACAGAAGTTGTAATCACTAGTTAGCAGTTTTTTTTCAAAATATAAAATTGTCATCAAGAGTCCATTTGATGTGATTACTGTCTTCCAGCAGTCACATGGGGTGGGAAAGAAGTTCCAATGCCTACAACTACATCCTCTAATAAAAACTCTAGTCCATCAAGCCTGCAAAAACATGTACGATTCGAATTTCCCATTCTCATGCCATCGAGCAGCCCGCGTAACATGGCCAAATTAGTTAAGTATCAGCAAATATCGATTAAGTTTTACAATGATGCATACTAAAAGCGTGCTTTATTTTCAAGTAGTTCAGCAATCAGAGGAAATAGAAGAAGATTGATCTAATGTGACCACAGATCTGATTCGGTATCAATCACACACGAAAATACCCAAACACACACGTAAAAAAAACAGACAGCAAGCATGTGTGGAAATTGGTGTTGGATAGGGAGACAGGATAATACCGGATATAGGTACGACCATCATTGGCGGTAACGGGGGATGAATGGCGAGGGAGCGGAGTTGTGATGCGAGATGCGGCCAGACCTTCGCTGCCTCCGGAGACAAGGTAAGCATTGCCGACTTCTCGGAATGGATCTCGATCGTACACGTGGATTGAGGCGTCGGCGGACTCAATCACCAATAATAGTAATACTATGAACAGAGATATAGCTTTGACGGTGATGAACCGGAGATTTGAAATGCCTGCGAAATTCATGGAGGTTTCTAGAGAGAGAAAGACGGGATCGGCGAATTTGGTGGGATTTTTGCTTTCTGGATGTGTGTGTGTGAGTGAGAGAGAAGCGTAAGGGGGAGGAGTGAAAATGAAGCCACAACTGCAATGAGTAACGACACTCGACAATGATCTGAGAGAAATCAATTTCGCACGCGCCAGCACCAGAGCTCGGCAACAGTCGACCCGAACCCGAATTACCGTTTCCAAAAAGCCTGACCCACGAATCCACCATTTGTATACGGAAATTTCAGTGTTTATTGTTCTGGAAAATATATATTTAATTTTTTATATATTTAATTTCAAAAAAGAATTAAAATATCTTTGATTTTTGAATAACTTTCAACAAAGGTCCCTATGATTTGCTCGGAATTTGAATATGGCCCCTCTTTTAAAATAAGTACGTTGAGTATCCTCCGGAATTGCATTTTGTTTTAATTTGGGTCCCTGTCACTAACTAGGGTTAAATAGGTCATTTACCTTTTTGTCTATTTTTATTACAAATTAAAAAGATTATACTATATTTGTATACAAAGAGAGGTGTGATCCGATGACAACCACCGCCACCCCAACGACCACATCTTCAATCTCTAACCGCACACAACAAGAAGACAAAGGTGTGACGACCTTATTTGATGACAGCCACTGTTCTATCCCCACTTTGGCGAACACCACTCTTCCACCCCACCCCCTTTCGACGAACACCACTATTCCACCCCAACCCCTGTCGTTCTCTGATGACAACCACAACCACCTTGTGTGTCCTCCCCTATGTACCTCCATTGCTTTGGTTGCCAGTCCCACCCACCCATGGGGATGACATCGAGTGTGTTGATCGTTGTTTGTTCGTTGTAAAACGGTTTCGAATGTGGTCGGGTGTATTTAGGTGGTAGAGTCTCGGTTCAATAAGTGTGTATTTTATGGTTGATATTTTATCCATCCACGATCTTGCCTCTTTCTCTCTCTTCTACTTGTAGAGGTCAATGCCAAGCGGTAGTGTGGATACGGATTACATTATACGTCATTTGGTGCTCTCGATTCAAACTGGCCTTTGGTGAAATGTTATCTCCACAGTCTAATTTACAGTTCGAGATCCAACCCTTTTCTTTCCCATGACTGGCTAATCGTGTTATAGGTTTTAATATCTTCTGGTTGGATTGGCGTTGCAGACTAGCGGTAGGGGTAGCATTTAATGTATGATTAGGTTTGGTTTGTTTGTCCGCTTTCATGCTGGTTGTTTCTCGTGGTGGTTGGGTTGAAGGTTTCTTGTCGTGCTTCCTTGTGGTATTTTAGTTAGCTTGTGTTTGTTGTGGTGGGTGGGTTTTTTGTTTTGCCTATCCTGTTGCTTTTTTCTTGTTTTTATCTGTCTTATTAGGTTCGGTTGTTTATGTATCTTGTTGAAACTTTGTTTCTTTTTGCCTTTGTACTATGTTTTTTCTCAGGAGTTTTTAATAAAACTGGTCTTTTTTAATGATAATTGTAAAAAAAAAAAAAATACACATTAGCAAAAAATGGTATTACCTTAATAAAGAAAAAAAACACACACACAACACTCATGTCTCTCTCTACCAAAAATACATCTCTTTCTGCACAAGGAATCATATATCTGATCAAAGTTTATATGAATGAATTGTTGTTGGAAATGCTAGTGACCTGGAAATTTATTCTTCATAGTTCATCCCACATTGGTAGATAGAAAAGCACTAGAAAGTCTTATAAGGTTTTCCTCTCAATTGGGTCTTGAACTCGTTGATAGACTCATGACGGGGGGTCATGAGTGGAAGGCCCAACACATACGCACGTGCGTGGCTGTGGCCGAGGGCGGGATTCACGAAAGTGGCGTGAGGAGGTGCACTTTGAAAATCAGTAAGGGACTTGGTCACTATATGATCCCGAGTTTAGGGGGATTTAGGCGTGATCATGGGGTGGTTTCACACACCGAAAATCGTCTGCTCTCTCTCGAATTTATGCCAAAATCTCTCTCTCTCTCAGTTTTTTGTCTCAATCAGTGTGAAACTACCATATTCTACATCCAACTTGCCTTTGATTTATTTATCAAAGTTGTTGATAAACAAAACACGATACTACATAAAATCCTGGGGCTTTACGACTAGTCGACTCACAACATACAATAGTGGGTGGTCGTATAAAACCTTTAAGGACAAGTTTTACCGTACAGATTCCGATTCAACGTCACTTCAAACAGGTTAGTTTTAGTTTTCGTGTATCTTAATTTTTTTTTTTTATGTTTACTTAGTGGACAACTCTACTTCTACTCCATTATTTCATTGAATCTATCGCGGAGACAAGTTCAAATCTGTGTGGTAGTGATCGGTTTGTGCTTTGATTCTGCATAGTAAAGTTACCATCTTTTATAATAAAGGTTTTAACTTTATAGTTCAATTAATCTTTTTTTGGATAAAAGAATTAAACTTTATTTATAAAGATTAAAACTTTATCGTTTTATCCATCTAACATTAATGTTTTTCAATATGAATCTTGATACATAAATTCTTATTTTTAAATTTCCCAAAAAAACGCAATCATAATTCCTAAAAGCTCCTCCACCCTTTCCATTAAGCTTGTTCATAAATCTTCTTCGTCGTCGCCAAAGAATAAAAATGGGTTCTAGGGTTCTAGATTCTGGGTAATTCTTTGCGTGATTATAAACGATACTTGATAAGATTGTAGTCCATCAAAATGATATTATACGCAGCAATTTATCCGGTAACCGCTTATAAGGTAAGATTCGTCACTCTCACTTACCGGGTAAGACTCTTCATCTTTGTAATCGCTCTTACCGGTTAAGATTCTCGACTCTTGCCACATTCATTCAGTTTAGCAAATGACCCAGTAAACGAAACCTTAAATTACTTTGATGGCATTGACTATGCAATATTTTTGTTTTTAACTTTTCTGTATGCATGGTGAAAATCTGTATACACCACTGATTGTGTTCTTAAGCTAGATTGCTTCTAGAAAGAATTTCCATCTATTTGGCTGAAAAAATATGAAAAATGTAATATAAGGGTGTTTTGGTTATTTTATTATTATTATTATTTTTATTTTAATTCCCAACAAAACATGTACCATTCCTGCCAAGAGAAATGAATTGTCAAATCCCATTCCAATTCAAAATTTCTATGGATTCCAATTTCAATATGCTTGGATTTATTTTACAGTTGCTGAATGATTTGGTGCAAAATAATTAAGTGGTCAGAATGATTAAGAAGCTTTCATGATATAGTGCAAAATGAAATATAACTGTTTGGTAATTGTCTACAATGAAATGATGACACTTAATGGTTAAGGGAGGCTCATGATACAAAATCATTCAGAGGGTTTTAAAACCATTAAGAGGCAGACTTTTTTTTTTTACCAAACAAGATTCATCTCTTAATGATTTAGATGTTACCTCTTAATGAAACTATTAAGAGGTAAACAAACAACCCAACCACAAGTGACTGCAGCTTTTCTTGCATTCATATATGCACTCATCTTCAGGTAAACTACCTTATATTTCTCTCTTTATAATCAAAGATATCAATGATTTGTAATGGTCACCACTTACCAAACACTTGCTGCTTCTTACTCAATAACTCAACACTTAGGGGCTGTTTACTAAACGTTTATCCGATAAGTGTTTATTGGGTAATTTTCCTTACCAAATGAACATGGCAAAGGTTAAAAACATTACCCGGTAAGAGCAATGATAAAGATGAAGAGTCTTACTCGGTAAGTGAGAGTGATGACTCTTATCCGGGTAAGCGCTTACTGGGTAAATTGTTGAATACAATACCATTTTGATGTACTACAATCTTATCAGGTAAAATAAATTACAGTGTTGACTCATAACAATAAGCACTTACGTGATAAGCATCTAGGTAAACGGCCCCTTAGGGTCATTTACTGGGTAAGCGTTTATCTACATGAGTTACTATTCTCTTTTACCTTATCCGGGTAATATTCTCGGTCATCAAAATGGATTGTGGGTAAACATCTATACTGTTCTTCTTGCAGGCCACCACGGGTACTATACTTGCAAATAACAAATTAACTGGAAATAACCATCCGGCCAAATTTTTTTACTGCACGACATTTGTTCTATGTCTAACAGAAAAAAGCTTCTTTTTAACACAAGAATGCATCAAAATCTGCATGACCTACGAACAGATATAAGAACACTTTTGCCTAAGAGAAGAATATCTCTTTATAATACAAGAACGCCTCAATCTGCATAATATCTTCTAACACAAGAATGCCTCGAAATCTACATGACCTTCTAACAGATTTAAGAACGTCTTTCCCTAACAAAGAATGTCTCTTTCTAACACAAGAATGTCTGAAAATCCGTTAGAAGGTCATGCATTCAAAAAAAATGTCGAAAGTGAAAAACCCCGAATCGGCTTGGGGTCTTATATTTTCTGTTTCTCACGAGACTCAAAATTTTCCATATAACAACAGAAGGTGCTATGGTGCTCTTCTTTGGCTCGCTGTTCTTATCATTCCTTTCAAGTATATTAGATCTCTTCGCAAGAGAACTCGAGTTCAGGAAGGGAACGGTCATGGGGTTAATAACCATTGAAACAAAGCATTATAGAAACAAAGCATTATAGAAACCTGTTTTCCCAACATAGCATGCCAGCCGTTTGATAAATTGCCCCAGAGAGATTTGATACAGTTGACGGGTGGCTCGAAAAGGTTAGAGATTTGTTAAATTTGCAGCTTTATAAGATGAACACAGCTTGCCAAAATGTTTATGATTTCAGGTTATGTTAGGCAATGAAAGCAACTTATATCCAGAAAACTATCAAATCAATGGAGATGGAAGAGAAGAATTTAATACCATGATTAATGAACATGTTCTCAAATGTCATTTTGATCTTGGAATTCATTCACGTTCGTTGAACATACCCCAAATCATAACAAAATTGGTTTAAAATTAAACCATGAAGATTGAAATCGCAAAATCAAAAAGACCCAAAAACCAACCATGGCTAAATTTATTGATTGTTCCATCTGGTCTTCTGGGTAACCTCGCGTTTGCAAGTGTACATTGTTAATCAATGGTGGTACTTTATCACAAGGGTTTTGATTTGGTGTTACGATTGGCCTTCTTCCTTTTGGCGTAATTCTTGAAATGGAAGTTAACGAAGAGAGCTAAAAGAGAGGCGTTGAAAACCGCATTGAAGCACCAACCCGAGAATCCAGAGCAACCCGACCCGGTGAAATGGTAATACAACATCAGACCCGACACCATGAAGCTGAAGACGAATTGTATAATCTGACAGTTGGTGACCAAAACCTTCCACCATGGACGCCCCCCAAGTGCGCACAGCAAGTAGTATGCGTACATTAGCACGTGCACGGAGGCATTGGTAACAAGCGCCACCGGGAGCAGCGACTGCGACGTTGAGAGCCACAAGTAGCACATGACAACGACCACCGCATGATGGTATACGTGGAGGAAGGACAACCGTCGGTTGCTGCCGCTGAGGATGATGAGGAGCGTGTCGATGAATTCAAGCAGTTTGGAGAAGTAGAAGATCTGAGCCCAGAAGAAGACGGGTCCACGTGGAGGGGTTTGATTGGGCGGGAAGCAGAAGATCCAACGGTGGTTTGGCATCTGGGAGAGGGCGGAGAGGGAGCAACCGACGGCCATGATTAGGGAAAGAATGAGAAGGATGAGGTTGTGGAGGGCGGAGATAAGGCGGAGGAAAGTGGAATTGAGGGTGGGGAGAGAGGCCCGGCGGAGGACGAAAGTGAGGAGGAGGTAGGCGAGGACGGTTAGGGAGAGAAAGAGGGGGGAGGCACCCCATGTTTGGTTGGGTTTCCACTGGAAGTGAGTGATGGTTGGATGATCAACCAGCCAGTAATGGAGGTTGGAGTAGAGGTCCTCCATAGACGCGCCGCCGTAGGGGGAGGCGATTGGGTGGTTAGCGAGAATGAAGGGGATAAGATCCGGCTGTCGGTCTATCACATTCACATTGTTGGTCGTCTAATACGTGACTCTTTTTGGGTTGAAATTTATATTTTATTAAAATTTATCTTTTGCTTAAAAAATATAATTCATCTATAAACAAAACACACACCCCAATTCCACTTATCAACTTACGTTAACTTACCGGATGAATATGATAATGATCAATAATCTTACCCGGTAAAAGGGAGATAATAACCAAAAGTCTTACCCGGTAAGTGAGGGCGACAACTCTTACTATGGTAAGCGCTTACTGGGTAAATTGTTGCATATGATGTCGTTTTAGTGGACTAAAGTCTTACCCAGTAAGTAAGTGGTAGTGTTAAATTATATCGGTAAGTGCTTATCGGGTAAGTGTTTAGTAAACGACCCCAAATGAATGGGATTAACTCCCATTTTAAAAGAAAATACATGGAACCGAGGAAGATGAAACACCCCTCAAATAGGAGACAACTTAAACATACAATAAAATGAAATAAAAGCTAAATTAAATAAAATCACCCAACAAAGGGAAATGTGAAAGAGTTCACATTAAAAGAATGGACGGTAGATAACAACCTACTGATCTAAACCAATCTAGATTTAAATTATAGTGTGGTGTCACTACAATCACCAAAATAATATATCGTTGTAATTCCAAAAGATGATGTCACAAAAGTGCCTCTACTGGCAAACATCACTTTACTCGAGCATTAGTGTCCCGGTACCTTGAGATCCTGATATAAATGTCATTTAAGAAAAAATGTTAGGCTTAACGCTTATTAAGCTTGAATAGATATAAAATAAAGATATAAAACAATAATACTGAAAACATAGTTTTAATCAAGTAAATTTGTCCATTTAAACCATTGTCACCCTTAGAAAGGCATAATACATCTTACAATAACGAGAGAGACCTAATTTACCATTGATAGTGACGAAACAAAAAAGTAAGTCATATATCTGTATTATATAAGCATCAATTTTTACATATTAACATTCATTAAAATTAACCATTCCAAGTCTATAACTTAATGAGTTAACAAGTTCAACTACTTCAAGTCTTTTGTTTGTGGAGTCATCAATTTCAACCACACCAGGTCTATATCTTGGGATTCCCAAATCCTAGTTAAATTTGTTCACAATAAATTACATCATATTGGTCAATAGCCGATGCCCAACTCCAAAAGTCCACACCATATTGCCTATGAAGACTTAATGTTTATTCCAAGTTACAATTAGGGAATATCATAACATTCATACAAAATAACACCGACTTATATGCCTATGGATCCATTGCATTATAATAATCTACTGTATCTAATCTTCTAGATATGTCAAACCATATCCAACGAATGAACATTCATGTATACATAGCCATTAAATAGGTAAAATCCCATTTTATCAACATAACAATTGGTAAGACCATTTCCACGTTTTTGGTTCCAAAATCCACAATAACTTTGAAGAAATCATCCCCCATGTAAGTAAAATCAACCCCTACACTTATTTCATCAAAAACCATAAAGTCCCCAAAACCTTAAATTTGATCTAAATGGTCCAAAATCAACCAAATAAGAAATACATGAAATGGAAGACTTGAGGAGCTAAAGAACTACATTTTAACATCTATATAGTTTTGTAAAGTGTAGGCCGAACTCGTATTGACAGGTTTTGGCTAAAACTTAGAAAATCGAGAAAACACTTGGGGGCTGTTTGGATAATTGGAATTAAAAGGAATTGAAATGTCCAATCCTTTGACCAAATTTCAAATAGAATGTTTGGTTCATGGAATAAGACTATGAAATCCTTTCAATTCCGGTCGATTCCTTCACGCGCAGATTTTACAATTCCATGGCAATATGCTAGGATTTCATTTCCTTTCCTACAGACGCCTTCCCTAATCCAATTTCATGCAACCAAACGCAATCACAAAGCATGGTCAAATTCCATCAGATTCCATTCCATTTCCTCAAAGTCAAATTCATTTGATGAATTCCAATTCCATCGAATTCCATTCTACAAACCAAACGCCTCCTTAGAAATGAAGATGAAAATTTAATCTTACGTTTTATCCCTAGCTTTGATGATGACTAAACCCCCCTTGAAATGGTTGAGGGAGTGAAATAAAATGTGCCCCAAAGTTGGATTCAATGAGGAAGGAAGAAAAATGGGTGAGAAAAGTATTGGTGAACTAAATGAGAAAAGATCCCAAAAATCGGCCCCTTTTGTGTGAATCTGCTTTCTACACGCCCTGTCCCGCGACCTCAGGTCACGCACATCCTTGAGGATAAAGAGGCAGTAGGATACACGACTACCCATGCTACTTAAGGTCACTGGGCAGGTCGCAGGGATGGTTTTTTTGCCCGATTTTATTCTCGTTCTTGATTTTTCTTGCAAGGCTTTCTACCAAAACTTTCAAACATACAAATAATATAAAAGAGGGTTACTTTAAGTGCCATAAGATGTTTTATTACCAAACTAAAGCATCTGAGAACTCGGTGCTATAATCCTACCAACCTTGACTTTAAGTTATTATATGCCCATGACATTTGTCACAACTGCTTATATTTAGTTGTTTTGATTAATGCGCACCGTATAAGCATTTGGGATCTGTCCCATTTCCCTTTTTTGACGAATCATATGTCCCTGCTCGACGGGTGGATCTTGCAATCAAGTTTGAGAGTGGGCATGCGTTTGGATGGTAGTTATCATATAATTTAGGTGTACTTTTGTTTTTCTAAATAAAATTGTTAAATGTACAATTGTCTTTTCAAAAATAAAAAAAATTCATGCAATGCCATCAATTATACAAACAATGCATACATTATCCATATGACGATCTTTAATGTTACTCATTTTATTTCAGTTTACAGCTTTATTCTTCAACAAAGTTATAATATATATATATATATATATATGTGTGTGTGTGTGTGTGTGTTACTTAAATTCTACTAACTTTTATGAATCGTATAGATACAATTAGTCGATGATTGTATTTAACAACTAACAATTATTTATATATACAATTTACATTACTACTTAAATTACTCACGCTATCGTGCAATAATATAAAATATACGATCAATTAACTTTTTCCACATTTTATTCTCCAATATATTTAATTCATATATGTATGGCCCCTTAATATAATACTAAATTCCTTTTGAATCTTATTAGATATTAAAAAAATATACCTATTTTATTTACTAATTTTTTTTGAACTGCTATTATATACCAAGTTTAATGCGGTTTATGTGTTTTAACACACTCGGTTCTTATTTTGGAATATATATAGATTACATCCTTGCGATTGTATTTTATAACACGTTGGGTCCCTAAATCTAACACTGTTAGTTTTTTTCTATTAAATATGTTAATTAATAGGACATTTTGGTCATTTTAATATATGAACCAAACATGCAATAAAAACCACAAGTACCAAACATGTAATTTACTCTCTCTCTCTCTCTCTCTCTATATATATATATATATATTATATTTATCAACTTACTTTTACAAATTTTCTTATTATAATATTGTATTTTTGTTTTTTCATATTACAACATATCATTTCAAGTTGTTTTTATTATGACATTATACTTTGATTTTTCTTTACTATAGCAACATATTTTCAAGTTATTTTTTATTTAGAAATTGTACTTTCAAAATTTCTTATTATAACAATATAATTTTAAAATATTTTTATTAAGAAATGTTTGTTGAAAAATTTATCCATTATAACAATTGACACCCTTTTGATTTGAATTACGATAACATCATACAAGTTATCAAACATTCATGACACATCATTCTGATTATATGACGTAAATAAATAAAACTTTTAATATTTTTTGAATAACATTCACACTTTTCCTTCTGATTATTCATATCTCACATTGATTATTTTTAATGTCTTTTAAAAAAAATATTTTCTATTTTTTTTTTACTTTTATTTAAATTATATGAAAATTAAATATTTTAATGTAACATATTTTTTAAATAAATATGATTAATTTTTTTTTCTTTCAAAAAACACATATTTAATAAACTTTTAAATAACTAAATTATCTTATTCTCAAGACAAAACTTAATAATGACTTACATTAAAAATAACCTATCGACTTATTTCAGTGTTTGAGTTTGTATTAAAAATAACTTTTTAGTTTATTCTGATGTGACATCGATAATAAATACTTTTAATTGTTTAAATAAACAATTTATACCGGTACTAAATCAGTAATAAATTTAAAAAAAAAAATTAAACTATTTTAATTTTTAATAAGTTGATAAGTGATTTTATAAAAAAAAAAACATGATTTGTTTAAAAAAAGCGAAGGGTGACAACAACAAAATCTGAAAATCTGAAACCATTACAAAACTTTACACGTGGGAAGGAAGAAAACCAATGGACTATTGAGGTATAAAAGGGACGTTGAGTGCAAACAAAGACTGCATCAATCACCGTGAATTGGATCAAAACTATCATCGGAGTTCGGATAGCGGTATCTTCTTTTCACTGCGATGGTTGGTTCCTTTGTACCTCAGCCACCGGAATTCTCGGTTTCCGGACTTGGATCACTTCCCAAACCATTCCATCTCATCACCAACGCTGCCGCTCTCCGCCTTGCTCACTTCCTTCGCTTCAGTGTCGTCTCCAATCGCCACCATTTGGGCTCTATTCTGCACTCACCTTTAAAGGCAATTCCCTTTACTCCTCTTCCTATATGATAAATAAGAGAGTCAACTTATTTAACTTTATTAATATTGGAGGATTTCTGTGGTTTCTAGGGTTCCAACTCTAAAGCAATTGATTTTTACCTGAGGCGGGATTACACTTCATGCAAATCTTTTACATCAGTACTGTTATGCTCTTTGAACTATTTGACTCAAATTTTGTAAGAAATTTTCTAGTTAAAAATGTAGTTTCAAGTTAAAAGGTAATTTGTTTGACCTTTGAAGCCAAAGTGCACTTGATTAGAATGCGTGTTTTGCCTATAATAGAATTTAACTTATGTGGTAGAATCCTTTGTGTCCACTTCTGCTTTTACTAGCTTAATATATGAAACAGACAATAGGTATTATATCAAAAATGGTAATTTGCTCTTGCTAGAAGGATGATGATGCCTGATATCCTGAATATGTGATCCAGATATAAGTGAGCAACGTGGGGTGGTATCTGTTTTGTGCCGATTTTTTTTGGGAGCTATAGATTTGCTGTCTTAGTAAGTTCACTGAAATCACAAGGAAATTAAGAAAAGATTATATTAAACCTTTTGGTGCCATAACACACATTATGAAAACATAAACCAAACCAAACATACCCGGTAAATCCCACCTGAGATAGGGTTTGGGGACGGTAAGATGTGCGTAGACCTTACCTCTACCCCCTAACGGTAAAGAGGTTGTTTCGGTGAACACCCCAGCTTATGAAAAGTGTGAGAAAGAGAGAGTGAGTAATGATAAAGATTTGAAATGCTCGCCAAGAGGAAGTAAAAACATACAAATAGAGGCAGGTACGAGAAAAGCATAACCAATTGTGAAAACATAAAGGCTAAAACTGTACCATCAGATCTGCAATTAAAATATTTCTGTACTTCTAAAGAACTTTGCTCAGGTTTGTGTTTGTGGTCTGGAAGTTTGAAGTTGACCCTTTTCTATTCTGTTTCTTGTCAAACAGAATTTTTCTCATCTTGGCCATGTTCTCCAGTTGAACAGAATGTCTCATGGAAGATCCCACCAGTTTAACTGGTTTAAGCTTCCTCAATGGCCTCATGATGCTTGGGCTACCACGTTCTCTTCCTGCATATTGTTTTTTGGTGGAGAAGGAAATAAAACCAATTATGGAGACCAAGAAAAGGCATACTTAAGGACTCCCACTAGAGGTCCCGTTAATAAAAGGATATTGACAGATATACTACTTGCCATTAATGTGTTGTAAGTACAATGTTTTGCCATTAGTTATTTGACCTTTTTTTTGCTTCTAGTGCTTCATGTTATGTTGTAATTTTGCGTTTATTTCATTTGGATGTCGGAGAAAAATATTCAAATTAATAGATTTTCTTTTCAGGGTATATGTTGCACAAGTAGCATCACAAGGAAAGTTGTTAATGTGGGGAGCAAAGGTTAGATCTTCCGAGTTAAAAATAGCATCCTACATAGATGGTTTAGATGTTTCAAGACTTTTAAAACTTTTAGTTAAAATTTTGTGGTTAGGTTAACGGTCTCATTGACAAAGGAGAGCTATGGAGACTGGTCACATCTGCCTTTCTACATGCAAATGTCGGACACCTTATGGTCAGGTTTGAGTTTTTCTGCATCTAGTATTATATTTCTAATGATCTATACTTCAAAATGAACTGAAGTAAGTTTAACCCTTTTCAGATTAATTGTTATTCTCTAAACTCTATTGGCCCTACCATGGAGCATCTGAGTGGCCCCAGAAGATACCTCGCTGTTTATATGACCTCTGCAATTGCAAGTAATATCATTAACCGATTATAAAAAAACATGTTTTTCCTCTCTCTCTCTCTATACCTATTATATAATTGTGTTGCAGCCATCATACTTGGTCTGTTTTGCTGTAGTTAAGGCATTGAATTTGCGAAAATTCAGAAAACACTTTTATTTTGTAAAGTGAGCGGTCTTGAAAATATTCTGGAAATCCGGAAGAAAGAACCATGGTACACTTTTTGACTAAAATTCCATTCTTGCAAGTGTTGTGTTCTTTTCATTTCCATTTTTGCAAGATTGATGGCTGGTTTGCAACAAAAAGCAAAGTATAATGGTTCGAAAAATTAGTAACTCATATATGTATGTATATTCGCATAAAGCAAAATTCACTCCAGAGAGTTCATCTAATATTGAATTTTACAAACATAGGTTCAACAATGAGTTACTGGCTCAGTAAAGCACCAGCAGTTGGCGCTTCAGGGGCAATATTTGGATTAGTAAGTTTTTAATTGTTGCATCAACATGTGGTGTTTTCCATTGTTTATTATTTTTCCAATTTCATATTTGCTCGACACTCCTAAGAATGTTTAAATTAGACTCTTGAATATGTCCGATTGCCTGTTATGTTACCTATATTATTGTCTACTTGCACACACCTCTTTTTTGTGCACAAGACATGGGTCTTCATGGAAACAACCTCTCGATCCTAGTGGTTGAGGTAAGGTTTGCATACATCTTACCCCTCACAGACCCTACTTTCAAGTGGGATATAATGGGTTTGTTTGATTTCGTTTTTATCTTCGTTTTTTTTAGTTTTATCTCAAACTAAACTGTTTACGAGATTGTTTATGAATCAGGTTGGATCTTTTGCTATATTTGTGTTAAGACATAACAACATGGTTAAAGGTGGTGTAGGAGACTTGAAGCATGTTGCACGTGTGATCGCTTTAAATATGGTACAAATCTACGCTTGCCTTCTGCAGTTCTAAATATGATTTGACCTTATTGACTTGGTTCTTGATTTGTAAGCGTTGACTTTGTGATTAATCCTCATTCAGGCTATTGGGCTGTTGTCACAAGGTATTGACAACTGGGGACACGTGAGTTTTCGATCCCTTTAGTTTGACATTTTCATGGTTTCTAGTTAGGAAAAAAATGCAACAAAGTTTGGCTTAGTTCCTATTTAGTATAACAAATATTTTTTTTCTCAATCAATGTAATGAAGTTTCAGATTATTCTATTTTGTATCCATTTTGACCCGGTTGATCTTGTAACATTTGATGATGTGGATACTTGTTTACGAAAGGGTTACATGTAAGTGGATGATAAACTTGGCATCCGTGTCATCAAATGTTACAAAATCAGTAAATTATGAGTCAAAATGGGTTAAAAAATAGGAAACTTTGTTACATTAAATAATTTTTTTTGAACTTTGTTACATTGATTGAGAAAACAAGTTATTTGTTACTCTAAATAGGAACTAAGCCAAACTTCGTTGCATTTTGAAACATTTTTCCCGTGCCATTATGCATAGAACATCACCACCTACTCGGTTTTCTCTCATTCTTCATTAACAAATTTAACCATTAATCCAGCTTGGAGGGTTACTAGGCGGAATTGCTACATCATGGCTTATTGGTCCTGCATGGAAGTTTGAATCAGCATCTCATCATGGAAGACAAATACTTGTCGATAAAGCACCAATATTTTCTCTCCCGGGCACAAAAAGAGCACCTCAATGACTCATTTCAACAACCATTGCTCACCATCACTATTTGCAGGTAATCACTCATATCCTATTTGTGTTTATCACCCACTCAAACCACGCTAAGGTTAATCTTAATGGCTTTTGTCGGGAGTTACTGATATACAAAGTTACTGAAGATACATGAATAACTCACCGTCGATTCCAATTTCATCATTGATCAATGCCTGCTGCATGTAATTTGTATGTAACATAAGATATAATGACTTGGTCTTGTATAGCTTCTTATTAGATTCTTAAGAAAAGACCTGAATTTTATGCTGATTTGCCCCTTATGCAATTTAAGCTATTTGTTTATGGTGGTATTTCATATATATGGTGGTGGGAGAAGACATGAAGTAAACCACATGGGTGGTGCCTGATTTTTTTGAGCTTGGCTCCAAAGGTCAAAAGTACCAGGAGGAATAAAAATCCCCTTGTGGCCACGGATTGTTCAAATGCGGTGACTCCGGGCTATCTGCAAAGCAGATGGTCGCCCTGAGATAAGTCGGCTCGCATAGCGGGTTGGATATCCAGGTTAATAAAAAAAAAAGACATGAAGTACAACCCATTTCCTGAAACCAGAATTCAGTCCGGTTATATTATCTTTTGATTTTCAAATTCAGTCCAGTAGAAGGAATGGGTGCATTGAGGATATGATATAGATAGGAAGGAAGATAAACTGATCTCTAGGCCAAGATTTCTTGTAGAAAATCCAGTAATTGTCTGAGCCAATTGCTTGAATCTTTAGGGTGCGTTTGGTACATAGATGGGACGATGGGACTTGACTCGACTGAAATGGATGTACGAGAGGGAGGTAGTGGGTGAAAGAATTTTGAAAGATTTTACGGTTTAATTTGACACGGATAGTTTGGTAATTTACTTATCTTGTCTCATCTCATGATATTTGTTCTACCTATTTTGGTACTTTTTGTCGCAGTGTAATGGTGTGCCAAAAACAAGTTTTTGTTATGTGCAGTTACGTCCTGACCCATTTATCAAACACATCGTTAATGAACAAATAATGAACTCGTGTTTATTTCAAATGGAGATTTCCTTTATTGATATTTAAAATGGACATGCCGACATATTTTAGTGATATTTTTTTAATTGGCATTTAAAAAATCGAAAATAAACGATTTTTTGTAATAAGTCTAATAAACCGAACAATCTTTGTTTTATTTCACTGTTATCTTTCGAGTCAGGTCTAATATTTTGGAGTGATCGAATTTGTGAACCATTTTATTTGATATTTTTTTTATTATTATCATAAATTAATTATTATTTTTGCAAAAAAAGTAGCAAAACAATGGTAAAAGTTACAAAATGAGTGTTTTCATGAGAACGAATCATAAAAAAGATAAATTAAAAAAAATAGAGCAAGGGGATGTTTGTTTATATTAAGCGGTAACCTCTAACAAGGTGAATTTTGTTTGGCAAAAAAAAAGTCTGTCTCTTAATGGTTCTAAAACCCTCTGAATGATTTTGTATCCTGGATCTTCCTTAACCATTAAGAGCCCTAATTTCATTGTACACAATTACCAAATAATTATATTTTATTTTGCACTATATCATGAAAGTCTTTTAATCATTATGACCACTTAATCATTCTGTACCAAACCATTCAACAATTGGCAAACGGTCCCTAACTAACGTATTTCATGGGAACGGCTCAATGGCTTAACGAAACTAATGTGTGTGGCTATAGATAATATCCTCTTTTGATCTCGACGACTAATACCATAGAGCCCTAAAGGTAATAGTCAGATAACCCTCAAGGCTTTGAACCCATGATTTCTACGAAGCAAACCCTAGATTTTACCAGTTGAGCTAGCAAGTTACCTTTCTCTTTTTCTCAACCGTTTTACTTTACCAATCTTCTCCCAACTGATGTTTATTTAGTTTTTGTGCAAAAATCTTAAATCTTGATGACAATCTTTGGATGAAGTTAACCATAATGGTGGTGCCTGATTGGTTTGAACTTGGCTCCAAAGATCAAAAGTACCAAGAGGTCCCAGGTTCAAATACAAGGAGGAATAAAAATTCCCTTGTGGCCACGGAGGTTCAAATGCGGTGACTCCGGGCTATCTGCAAAGCAGGTGATTGCCCTGAGATTAGTCGGCTCGCATAACAGGTTGGATATCCAGGTTAATTAAAAAAAAATCTTTGAATGAAGTTAAAAACAAAACAAACTTAGAAAAATCTCATAAAGAGTAGGGTTTGGAAAGGGTAAGAAACATTAGCATTAGCAAAGGGTATGAAGAGTTGCAAGCCATTGAATCCATTTTATAGCTGACAACAAATGTCATGCACTTTAAAGCATACAATCACAAAAAAGGTATAGCAATTGGTCCTTAAGACTATTTCCCATATCTTCAAAGCAGTAAAGCAGGATTCCAATGGTATAAAAATTCTTGACAAAAGAAGAAACAATCAGTTCTACAGCTTAATAATCCTATTCTTGTAACGTTACCGGGCCCGAGTCTAGATTAGTTTCTTCTTTTGGAAAAAGCGCGTTAAGTACCATAGTTGTGCAGCGGAAGCTGCAATGCAAATACCTAACGAGAATATACTGTACCAGGCCACTCTAGAATTTGTAGTTTCGCTCACTTCTATCATCTGTGCCTCCCTGCATAACCACGTAAACGAACCACAATTCATTATCTATACTATATTATATTACATTTGATAAAATAAAAAAAAACAGCTTATTAAACATTAGGTACTTTTTACTTTCATTAATATCTTAAAATTCAAGTTTACAACTTATTACTCTCGTAAATCTAACTGATAAACACGTTCAAATGTAAGATAAGCATTGAAGCCATACTAATACTAAAAAACACTCCATTAATTTCGGATTTTCTTGTTCAATGAGAATTTGCGTTAATTTTCCATTATCGGTTTGTTTTACTTATGGGCCGGAGGAAAAAGACAGCCAGTTTATGTGTTAAAGAAACAAACAAGTTGGCTTTGATGCATATAAATGTAGGAAAAAGAACACCCAAAATGAGAAAAAGAAAACACATATGCGAAGGTTTTATAGCCATAATACGATAATGCATTGGAATTGCAGAAAGGCACCTGCCCTTGAGGTAGAGAAGATTATCATGAATGGCCTCCACAGCTCCTTCAAGCTTTCTCAACTCAAGCTCAACACCCTATGAAGCAATTCAGGCTTCTTGTCAGGCCATAGAAGAGAAGTAAAACGTTTATAACGAAGCTTTTCATAGGTTTCAAATTTCTAACGAGAGTTTTTTAGCCACTAAGCTTGTGAAAGAACACCCGGCAAAAACCCCTCTTTCGCTTGTGACGTTACAAGCTCTAAAAGAACTTTGTTTTTGCTTGTGGTCCCATTTTTTTGGAAAAAGTTCACCATTGTGGATGCTATAATTATATATGAAGTCCAAATTTGATTCAAATAATCATTTGGGTCTACATTATTCATCCCTCTAAATGGGAATGGTGGGTAAATGTACTCGGATGGAAAACCTTTCAAGTTTTTTCGAGGTCACAAACAAGAAAAAGAATCTTGAATAACCCTAATCACTCAAACTATTGCCTTTAATATGTTTTCCATTAATATATTTCAACATTATTAAATGCTTGAGAATTAAGAGCTTATATATGGGCAAAAAGTTGATTACCGACAACCCAATTGGCCACATGGTACCTGCCTCCAGGACACCAATGTGAAGGGACATTTTTTGGTTCACTTGGAGGTTGAGGCTAGCGCACGCAGGGGGGGGGGGGGGAGGGAGGATTGGACCCGGGAAGCAAAAACAGTAGAGCAACAGATGATACAAAGCTATTTATTTCTCACCTCAATTTTTTCTCTCCTTGCAACTGACTCCCAATCTTTTGCTGCAATTCCAGTTTTCCAGTCAATGTTTACACTTAAAGCTCCACCTTGATTAGGGTCGTCTGCCCAGAAGCAAACCAGATACTGCCCGGCCTCACTTGTAGTGAAAGCAAATTGACCGTGAGTTGCATTCTCCTTATGGTGAAGGACGTTTCCGTAAGGTGATGTGACCTACAAAAGTAGAACAAACCATAATTTTCATAGCAGAAGAAAGATCAAAGATGGCAATGGATATAACGAAGTTCTTTATCCTCTGCAGCCTGCCTAACCAAACCAGCGCAGCCCAATATATCCCACCCGTAGGTGGGGTCGGGGTAAGATATACGCAAAACTGACATCTACCCTAAAAAGTAGAACCATTGTTTCCATGATTACACCTGCTAGTGAAAAGTTTGTGAAAATGGAGAAAAAACCAGCCTCCTGATTATCACTATAGCTGAATTTTTGTATTACAACAAAATAGAAGAAGTGACCTCCATAGAAGATAATTAAAAAGACTCTTTGTAACAGTTTATTGTAGTCAGATTATATATGAGACCAGAACCAAAAGCAAATGAAAGCATAAATTCATCATTTACTAGTGTTTGATAACCTCCCTCCCTGAATAGTGAATACAACAAGATAAACATAAATCAAGCATTTGATCCTGAAACATATCCCTAAATCAATTTAGCGTTAGTTAGTTGTTTCAGAGTCTCACATATCATCCTACAAATTGACATCAAATGTATAATGATTATATATACTAATTACTCCACCACATCTTTTACATAGATAGCAGAATCTAATTCCAATCAAAACCCTAGCTCTTATTAACATTTGGTCCTAACACAATTAGCTTTGGGGGTTATTTTCAGATTTATTGAAATTCACAAACTTCATTTCCCCTGGACACTAGTAATCATAATCATAAACATATTAATGTTCAATTACATGTAAAATTCATCGTCAATCTTATAACATCAAAACAAGCTCAGTAATCACATGATTTTTTCATACAAGTCATATACAATTGTACATGCACGTCTGTTTGAATTATATAAACATTCAACGAGAAACACACACAGAAGATATATATATAGAGAGAGAGAGAATTACCTTGGTGGTGATGGAGGGAGTGGGGTGAATATGAACATCGGAGATGACGACGTAATCAGCCAAAACAACGACATTGTTATGGATTTCCTCCGTCACGCACTTCCTTCCAGATTTCGGTAAATTCAACCATATGCAATCACCACTTTTCACCATGATTAACATGAAGAGAATCACCTGGAAGAAGAGCCTAGGTTTTTTCGCCATCTTTATACAGTCTCTGTATCGCTGAGATCAGAGAACTGTTGGAAGTTGGGATCTCTCTTTGCGTTTCGGGCGTTACTGTGATTTTTGTCTTAACAAGATACATGAATGGTAATAAATAGCATATCATTTCTAAATATTATTTGACTTTAAAAATTATTATAAATATTATTTAGTTTTTGAGGACGGTCATAAAAGTTAATGATAACATATTCATATTTATTGCATTTTGTTTGTGTGTGTGTATATATATATATATATATATATATATATATATATATATATATGTTGGTTCAAATACTAACCAAAACTATTGTGCAAACTAT